CATGAACAACATCAGAGAACTTTAATAGAAGAATAGGTAAATGAATTGAGATACATTCGATACGCTTAAAAGTGAATTGCAGTGATTTAAAGTTACCTCTCATAAACCTAATATGGGGCAGTAAGTACCAAACACATACAAACGAAATTATACATTTTGGGGAATATTTGCCCATCTAATGAAAGACATATATGGAACTAAACTAAACTATATGATATCAACTATTTATAAATATGAGAAGAATTAGATTGTGAATAGGCATCTTGGAAATACTGTGATATTTCTTAAATGGTTTGGTGGCTGCATGACTATTGTATGATCCATCATATAAAATTACTTCATACCAAAAAAATAGATTAGTCAGGAGGACAGCAAACAAAAGTAGAAATTTGTAGGAACAAATGAAAATCAGGTAACATGTAAAAGCAAAATCACAGTGAGTTGAATTTGACATTAAAAACTCAAATCAGACTGTAGAAAGACATGAATTATGAATTGCAGAATTAAGTAGATGACGTTATAGTCATAAGTCTGAAAGTATCAAATACTGCAGGTGTGTATATCTATACATATGCACGTATGTACACGTGTATACACATACACACATATACACACATTTAGTGAAATCCATTAAAGATGCAGTATGAACTTGATAAAAAACGATAATAGTGTAGACTAAATTTCAGTACAAGGCCAATCAAATAGATAATACATAGAGATATAGCTAAACTGAGTGATACATTTTTCAAACCTCACCTGAGAACATGTTTAGTCGTTTTCTTGACTGTGGGACTAGAGAAAATTTACTGACAAAAATAATTGTATCCTTGGGCATAAAATAAAGTAGATAAAAATGATTTTGTTTGCTGTCATTTGCTAATATCTAATAAGATATAAATCCAAAAAATTTAACAAAAAATCTCTTGCCAATCAAGAAAATGTCAGATACCTCTTAATGAATTGGGAAAATAGAGAGATATCAGAAATTATCTGGCACAAAACTTAGAAGTAAATGCTTCATGAGTGAAGACTAAAGTTTAAAATCTAAAGGCATTTGATACTTGTGTTACAACATTAGGCAAGTAAATTGCCAATAAATTGGTAAGAATGGAGGTTAACTTCAAGAAGCTGTAAAATTGAATCTGTCTAGTGGATAACTTATGAAAGGTAACTTTGATGGACCAGTGAAATGAATGAAATCTGTATACTGTGAATGAAATTTGGAATGAGAATGAATTTTTACAACTACAGAACAAAGTATAACAGTTAAAAGAAAATATTACTTTATGGCATTTTAGAAAAGATCTACTTCTAGTTCTTGTGAATCACAAATTTTCATTTAGAATATTTTTCAAAGATAAGGTTTGCCAAAACTTTGGAGAGTTAATACCAAGTCAATAATAAATAAAAGTACAGAAGCACAAAAATATGCTATTTGGCTTTACTGGTAATCATTTTCTGATCTTTTGTGAACTTTTCCTGTGCTACTTTAATGCATAGCCATGTCTTGATACAGCTTTCCTGAAAACATAGAATAGTGCATGTTAGTTCCAATATTAGTTCCTAATATCAAAGTAAAAGGCCTCTAGGATAGAAAGATATGCTTCAATCTTATCATTGTCCTAGTAGATTGGAGGGGATTAAAAGGTATAATAGGATCCACTTGTTGAATAATGCTTCTTACTACAGAATGATATATATTATAATAGGCAAAATAAACTGAAACTATAAAATTACAAATTATGTCTTGAATGCCTTCTATACATTTGGAACTGTAGTAAAAAGCAGCCATGCCACATATTTTATACAGTTATGTAACAGCATAGTTGTAGAAAATGAGTTTGTATAAATAACATTGTTTTGGTAAAAATATTAGTTTTTAAAGTTTTTCAAATGTTTTCTAAACCTATTTCATGCTTACAAATGATTAAAAATGTCAATAGAATTTTATAATATAGTCATGTATATTGAGCAAGTCTGTGAGACTTTTTAAAACCAAGGAATAGTCCACTAAAAAGTTATATCTTCTAAAAAAAGAGGTATAGATTAAAAAACTCAGAAATATTCTAAGGGGGCTAGGGAGAAGGAAGAAGAGAGCTTAAAAGAGGGTAACACGGGGATAGATAATATGAAAATATCATACAGGTATTCATGATTATGTCAGAGGAAACCCATTGCTATGTGTAATTAATATGCTTTACAAGATACCCTAATGTATGTATTTTTAGATTAATCAAATGTTATACAAATGTTAATTATTCAACAGTTTACAATGATAAATTGTTTAATTTCTGTATTAGTAAGGGAGGAGAAGAGTTATATCTTAAATCATCCTCTTCTTTGCTCCAAAAAAATCTTTAGAAAGTTAGACATTTGAAATTATAGACTGTCAGATCATGATAAGGAGAGATGAAAGAATGTTTCTTACTCATTACAGTGTAAAATAAAGATCTTCCCCATCCTAAAATACATCAAACATAACCAGGTTGCATCGTGTGAATGGCTAACTCAAAATATTGGCAGCTAAAGAAACAACCACATAATTCTGGAGTAACGCCTTTTGTATCCTTATTTCATTCTTGTCGCTGCAAAATTAGTATGATCCCTAAATTTCTCTCCTATAATCACCACATTGTAGTGACAAGGTATTAGGTCTCCTTGATTTCTTTGTCTTCTAACTTTGATATATGGAAATAGTTTCTGTGAGAGGCACACACACAAAAAAAAGTAACTGAGGCTGACATTATGTGATAGAAATAGTCTTTCCTTATTAATTTAGGGATCCAGTGAGTACTTTTTAGAAAGAGAAACTATTTAATTAAGGAAAATGGTAGTAAAGGAGTCTTTTAAGTGTGGTTTCAGGAGATGCAGCAGTGCTGATGCTGTCTATAAAGTCAGCCCATAGCCTCCGCTGTGCTTTTTGCCTAGATAAAGCCATTATACTTAGGGGGCGAAGGGGATAGAAAAAGGAATATTCCTCCCTGGAAATGTATTGCGGAGCAGGTTAATGAAACATGTATATGTTTATGTTGATTACATGTGTTTGTGTTACATATACAAATTGATTTGTCTAGGAAACAAAATCCTAAAATTTTTCATTAGAGGGTCTGTAGGAAACAAAATCATGTCATATACAGTGTTGGAAAACCCACTTCCTTCCTCAGATGGGGATAGAATTGCATTTTTGGCTTTCTCTTGACTGTTGTGCAGCAAAATTTATTGATAAGCATTTTTAAAATGTAAATTGCAGAAATAAGTTGATCCAACTCTTCTCTGGTATTTGCACATTACTCAAGTTTCTCCCAAATCTAGAATTAGGAATCTATGTAAGCATTTACTTTAGAGTACATAATGAAGAGGGCATACATTTCTGTGGTAGCTAAAGTGTTGACACATGGGAGTTTATTCTAAATTCAAGATAGCTTAATTTAGACATGTCATGTAGCAGCCCTGTGTATCAGAGGACATACTGAGGGCAGTGCTTTGGCATCTATTCTTGATTGGGAGTAAATGAAAGCTTCTAGCCTCCCTTTTTTGGGTGTGGCTTAAATTGGAAATGCATTAAACCTTCCCTTCCATAATCTGTAATATCTGTAAGTCCTGTTCCACTTTTTAGTGACTAGTTGACCTTTTCCAGTTTTTATGTTTTGCAAACATACTGAAAGGGCAAATTGCCTAGATTCTTCTTCAGTTTAGGTAATTTTGCTGTTTTTCTCCCTGAACTGAGGAGGACTGAAAAGGGAGGAAGGGATCAATGTGTTTGTTTTGGAGGCTGATGTTAGAAAAGAGGATTTCCAAATGAGTGGTACCCTCATAAAAGATTCAAAATTCAGTTTCTATATTAAAGTAACAATAGCTTCTGTATAGAGAACTTCTATTTCCATCTGAAAATAATAGTTTCTTATCTATTCACTTGATACCCAATGGGTTTCCCCAAAAGATGATTGTTTTGTAAGCAATGATTAAGAGACCCAGGTAGTTTCTTCTGTTCAATCGTTACATTGTTTTTGTCATATGGCTCCTGTGTTGTTAACTTGGGGAAGGAGCTTAGAAATTATTTGTGAGTGTACTTTATAGGTCCAGCTGTAAAAATGGTCAATAAATCTTCTATACACATCGACAAGAACTCACTTAAATAACCACAACTGCTTATAAGAGATTTGTAAACGTAACACAGCTATGGACCCAGGAACAAAGGAACAAGGATTTGCTGAATGCATGGTCGATGTGTATCACATTTGTCAAAATAAAATAGGGATCAATAGAAAATAAAATACATGAACTACTAGATTTTGGATCCAAAGAAGATTCAAATTTTGAATTCTAAGAAAGCGACACATGTGAGAAGCATGTTATAATTCTTTGAGCTGGAGCTATGTGTTCCAGGAAGACTTTCGTAGAGCTTTTGTAAATATGGATGTATGAAGGAAACAATTAAACAGCCAATAGTAAACATTTTTTAATCCATTTGACTGCAAATATAAGCAATGGTGAAATAGTTATTTTGATTTCTGCCTCCAATATCAATATAAAGTATACACTTTTAACTACAATGTTATATTTTTGATGTTAAGGTTTGTAATAAACTATTTAGTAGATTTTGTATTATGTGGCCTGTGTGTTAGGGCTAATTCTTTTAAAGCAACAAAGTAATTTCCAAATAGATATATTACATACATGTTTCTACTTTCTACAATGAATGCAGTCATTTTGTACTGCAAACATCTATTAATAAAAATTTTTAAAAATTCAAAATGATAATCGCTCCTGTTTATATAAGTTATATAATTTATAATTTTTACATTTTAGTTCAGTTGAATTTTTGAAGAATGTTTATAAATAAGTCTTGGGACTTTAGGAAGCAGCTGTAATATAAATCTGTTTCCTTTTGTGGGAGAAAGTTGATAAAAGTAATTATTTGTATGATGTTATTATCTGCTCATAAATTGTGTTCAGAAAACCCAGTGTATTCATGGTTTGTTTTTCCCCTTTTTCTCCAGGAGAAAAGTTGAAATCATGCACACCCATAGTCTTTTTACTCTTCTTGGAGAAAGGCTGATGTTACATACAAACACTGTGACTGTCACCACATACAACACACTTTATGAGGTAAAATAAAATAATGTGTAATGCAAATTTAAAAGTATGTACAATGAAAAGTTTAATCTGTTTGGTTGAGATCAGAAATTAATGTTCAGTTAGTCCAGAAAAGCCAATTAAATTCAGGATTATTAAATAATATTCACAGACCTTATAAATATTTTACTTTTTATAAAATATATTAATGTACAAATATTTGCCAGTGTTTTTATGTAGGAGCAAGCACTTTTGCTGACCAGAATTGCAGATTCTCACATGAACTACACCTGTGATGTAGTATGTATCCTACTTCCACATAGTCCCCCTTTCTTCAGTCCATCCCCACTTGCTAATCTGTAGTGACTGCCAAAATTAAGATACAGTTGATAAGGAGGTAAAATGTAGGGAAGACCTCTTGTAAAAATGATGTATGGAAGCATCTTTAGCTCTCATTTAAATTTAGAAATCCCTTTCTTATCATTTCTAACAGATGATCCTATAGTTATTGGTTTAGTATTTTCTATGAAATACATAAACTGCTTCACAAAGTAGCTATTTTTATTTTTAAATGTCAGTTAAATATTAGGACTGTTTTCAGGTAGTAACCTGAATTCTACCTTCCTATATCTGATCTTCAGTGATCCTGCTTCAGTTCTCTGGTGTAAGTACTAGTAAATTACCAGCACTTCTTCTTTAAGTGGCTGTTTGCTAAGGATGATTTTTGTGGGTTTTTTTTTTTGTTTGTTTGTTTGGTTTTTTTTTTGTCTTTTTCCTTTTTATTGGTACCGGGGATTGAACTCACGACTGCCTGCTTGCAAGGCATTTTTGTGTTTTTAAATGCCTGAAAATAATTAAAAATAATACATGACAAATAAAATTTATATGAAATGCAAGCATCAGTCTTCATGAATAGTTTATTGGAGCACTTCCACAGTTATTTGTTTAGATGTTGTCTGTGTGTGCTTCTGAAATACAAGTGTGGAATGAAGTACCTGCAGCAGTATTTGTCATAGTCCCATCACTTTGTACTGCAGCTCTGTATGCTGAGTTACAGAGATGCAATAAGTCAACAATGTTTCATGATTTCATTGTACATAAATAAAGTCGTAGTGGAACCTAACCATGCTCGTTTTTTTAAGTACAGCCTATGGGCTACTTTACATTACAGTGACAGAGGGAAATCGTTAAAACAGAAACCATATAATCCACAGATCTTCAAATACTTACCTGGTTTTTTTTTTTTTTTTTGCTATAAAGAATTTACTGACCCCTATATTCCTGCAACACAGAGAAATGTAATTCCCATGTGTTGTTGTTTTAATTAAAATCTATAAAATTGAGAAAAGGACCAACGTAAAATTTCCTGTAGTGTCTCCAATAATATTAAAAAGTATACAAATTCTTAGTTCTTCTCTATCTCTATATACAAACATACATCCTTCTTAACAAAATACGATCTTATCCATAACTCTACATCTCTTTTTCTGCTTAACACATTGAAAATATTTTTATTTCTCATGAAGTACAGATATTACAAAATTAAGGCTCAAAGGCTAAATGATGTCTGTCACAAGTATTCAGCTCTACATTTTTAGCTAATAAGCAGCCATAAACAGTATGAACCAAATGGACTGTGCCCATAAAACTATATTACAAAAACAGATGGTAGGCCAAATTTAGCCTGCAAGCCTTGAATTTTCTATTCTTAAGCCTTTCATTTTCTATTCTTATTCTGTAGCATTGCTTTTTTTCAACTACTGTATTTTATTTCATGTTTTTCTCTGATAATCTCATGAATAAATGTAGGAATGATTATCCTTGATATAAGGAAGAAATCTTTCAGGTTCTTTGATTTTTGTTTGTTTTTGAGTTTAATATGTCTGCTTGTGTCCATCATTCTTAAAAATCATTTAATTTTTAGATACTACCCTCATTTTTAAATTGATATTTTTTAGTATTACTCTAATACAGTATGAGATAGTGAATCAATAAGCATTAATACGATGGCTTACCCTCTTTACATAATATGGTGAAGCATTGTCCTTTCTTGATTCTGATACTTTATTTCTCCAATAGTATTACACCCTTTATTGGACACTTGTTGTGACAGTCACTTTAGTGATTACTTTTCTATCCATTATCTCAGGTATTACACCCCGTGGGTTACTAATTTTTTTTTTTGATACTGATATTTTGATTGCCTTTTTAAACAGACAAACTGAAACTTACAGGTTAAATAATTTGGTCTATCATTCCACTAACAAATACTCACAAAACAGGTAAGTTCCATAGTATCTATGCATAAGGCAGAAATGTTAGAATGTGCTTTCTGAATCAAAACCTTGGTACAATATCAGGTTATGGTTCTGAAAGCTACTAACATCTAATACAGATTAATTTATATTTAAGTCTTAGTTTAATACCACTTACAAACTAATCTTTGTTGTAACAATGGAAAGACAATGGATTATTATTTCTGGATCACCAAAGTTTGAAGATTGTATCATTTTGCCTAGTGATTTCTGGTTCAAAAACATTAAACTCCTGTGATAAGTGTTACTTTAAAATTTTAATAGCATTATAAGTGAAATTTATCTTAAAAAAAAAAAAACAGCCTCAAGAGGTGTTTAGCTTTAATTCTCCTCATGCTTATCATCAGTCAGCCATGCCCATAGTGACACCCCTTTTCTCACCAAATCCCCCTTCCTAGTGGCAAGTACTGAAATCCAGACAGGCCCCATTGTGAGCACATGAGGCTTTTTGTGACAGGGACATTTTAGATCTACACCATAACAATGTGTATATGATAAATATTAAAATGTAAAATCAGACCCTCGCAATATATGTCAGATAACATTGTAAGTCATTGTTTATGCTGAAAGTATTTTGGTTTTATAAAATTTTTATTGTTTATTACAATTTAGATATACATAATATTTGCATTCATCATGGGAAATTTGTTCCTGTACATAATATATCTTAATTCATCTTTTTTTCGTATTTCCCTCCCTTCAATCTCTCTTCCCCTTCTTATTTATAAAACTTTGTTTTATCCTTCTTTTCTCATATTTTTCTTTTTTTTCTTTCCTTTTTTCTTCCCCTCTCCTTTTGATTGATTTCTACATGTTTTACAATATCAATTATATATGTTGATTTTTATTTATACTTTTAACTTTCTCACAGTAGAGAGACAATGTGGTATTCGCATGTTTGTCTAATTTATCTCAATTACGAGTATAGTATCAAGGTCTATCCATTTAGCTATAAATCTCTCAGGTTTATCCTTTATGACTGAGTAGTTCTCCATTTTTTTTAAAAAAAATCTTTTTAATCCATTCTCTAACATAAATTACAGAATAATTCTGTTTATGAAATAAAATTTAAATGTATATTGTTGGGCTCATGTTTATATCTAAATACCATGATAATATTACATTTATACTTTCACTACCCTGACAAGTGTAATTGCCACTAGTCATATGTGGCTTTAAACTCAGAATGTGGGCTGAAAATGTTAAATGCACCCTGGATTTCATGTCAATACCTGACTCCGGACTCAAGCTTTTGGGTTAGTGAAGGGCAGGGTTTAACTTTTTTTAATGGCTTACCAAATCCAGTCACACTTTCAGGGCCCATCTGAGTCTTTTTATTCTTTCATTAAAATGTATCTGTGTTCAACTCTCATATCTTATTATTCTCCTCCCCTCTTTTTAAACTCATCTAGATTCTTAATGAGAGTGTATCATGTTTTATTGCTTAATAGAATCGTGCGCCTGTCTCCAGAACATTAAGTAAATTGAGGCTAGAAATGTAGTTCCACTTAGCAACTAACAGTAAACATTTAGTGAAGTGTATAACTTGTTCTTAGTAAATGCATGCTAAATTCAGTTCTAAATGTATTTTTATAATTAAAAATAATTTTATATTTGAATATGTTTCAGTTTTTAGAACATTTTATATAAAGAGTCTTATTTAATTTTCCTAGCAGGCTTATTAGATAGGCCAAACAATTATTACTTCTGCTATATAATAAAATAGGGACTTAAAAAGACAACATCTCTGATAGTTTGAGGTAAATTTTATATCCTGTGTTATGTAATTTCTTCTGTTAGGTTGGAGAAAGTTTTGACTAATCATAGGGGAGCATGACATGGTTTTTTCCCAGCTTGTTTGCAGTTATTTTTAATCTCTTATTTGTGATGAGAATTTTTTGGGATCCTGTCCATTAGACTGTATTTAAACACCAAACTGTTAAGTTTATTGTTCTTTAGCATATGAATTTCCAAGAAATTTTACTCTACATGTCAGCTCTGATGCATTAGTAGTACATGTTTGGAGTGCCCGTTCAGAAACATTGTGACACTAGTTTTAACAACAAAATATTTTTTCAACAAAAGTGTGGAAGCTCAAGGAACAGGACTAATTATGCTTGAAGTTTATCATTTAATTAATTAATGGTAAATTAATGGCTGGTTTTTAAGTCAATATCTTTTGAAATACATTTCTAATATAACTATGCAAATTTCATAGCATCTTAATCTGAGCAGAAAGGTAAGAGAAGTACCAATTCTGGATGTTCTGATCCTTTCCTAATTAGAGATTTTCCTAGTATCTTAATTTAGTTTCACCATTCCCAACTTTTTACATATATATCTGGTTTCTAATCATATGCTTTCAGTTTTCCCCAAATTTTCTCGGTGACTTAAACAGTTTTTATATGATTATTTAGAGGCTGACATGTTAAAACTAAAATGGAAATTAAATCACTGATATTGAATAATATCTTTGAATAAATACATTCACATTGGATTTACGTGTGTGTGTGTGTGTGTGTGTGTGTGTGTGTGTGTGTGTTTTAACTCATGTGTATCTTTAAGAGTGAAGATAATGTCAGTCAAGGTCAGTAAAATAGTGACCAGTATATAAAAGTGATTATCCACTATTCAACATACGTTTGTTGGCTACTGGTACTAAACGCGGGAATGCAGCAGCACATAAGATAATGTGCAAAATCCTGCATTTGTTGAGTCTTCATTTTATTGAAAAAGTAATAACATTTTAGAATTCCATATTTGTTTTACTTGGCCAACATGTATCATTTTTTTTGCTTTTTGAAAGAAATAAATGACTGTGAGCTACATTTTAAGGAAGAAGCTTTTCTTCTCATACTTCATTTTTAAGTAGGAACGTAGGCTGAGGCATTACTGATTATTTTATACTTTTTTTCATAGATGATGATGATGTAGGGGAAATAGTATAAATCTCAACCTGCTAGATGTGAGATATGTTGAGTTTGTATTCCCCAAAATCAAAGAATGATTTCTAAGAAACAGGAGGGTAAGAGGAAAACTTTATTGAGAGAGAACTCCTGAGAGGAAAAGAGGGCTCCCCAAAAGTGGGTTGCCAATGAATCCACTTCTCAAACGAAGGTTTTGTTTTATTTTGTTTTTTGTCATTTAGAGACAGGGTCTAGCTATGCAGTTCAGGATGGCTTTGAGTTCACTTTGTAGCCCAGGCTTGTCTCGAATTTGCAATAGTTTTCCTGCCTCAGCCTTCCAAAGTGATGGAATTCCAGGTGTTTACCTCCACAGCCAGCTTTTCAAAGAAAGTTTTGTAGAACAAAACTACAAGGTGTATACAACGTGGTTTAAAACTATGATTACCCAATAAGATTACAAATTCACTTAGGTAATATTGAATCAATGTGGAAGCAGGTCATGTAGCAAGTGTACATGGAATGAACAACGACCTTTGTTAGGAAGGTTTGGCTCACAGGGGTCTTGGCCACCTACTTGGGTGACTGATGTCTATCTAGGCTTTATTGGGCCAGATGATACCACTTGTCTTATCCCTTATGGAGATACGTAGTGCTGCTCACTCTTCTTTATCTTGAGGCCTAATGTCCAACAGATGTGCCTCTGGCCACCACCACTGTACTGTGTGCTCATCTTTTGCACTGACTCCTTGGTGGGCTTAATCTTATCTGATTGTCTATAATATTTCTACCTAACTTAGCTGTCTACAGTAATAACACAAAGAATCAAATGTTTACAGTTTACAACATAACTATATTAAAGATGAATACTAAAAGGTATTTTAAACAATATATTTATGATTACTTGTTCTTTCATAGAAAAGTTTTTTTTTTAATTTTTAAATTTGAAGAATGTAGACTTTAAAAGAGTTAAAAAGAGTTAAAAGTGTGGCATTGGTTAAAAAGACCCTTTAAAAGAACTGTTTTTCTAATTTGAACAGAGTGGAGGATTTTGTCTTGTTTTGTTTTGTTTTTTGGCAGATATTTTGTAGATCTGTACTTTTCATTGGTGATTCAAGTTGTTCTGTAAATGAAGTTTAAAATCTTTGTCTTTCAGATCTTGACAGAGCAAGTGTGTACTCAAGTTGTACATAAACCTCATCCAGAGCCAGATTCTACTGTGAAAATTCAGAATCCGAGTGAGCAAATGGCAGTTGTTTATTGTTACGTAGTAGTTAGCTGACAGCATCTGAAACTAAGAAAAATGTTCCTAATAGTTAAATAACTATGGTATTTATCTGGTTCATGGCACTTATAATTTATCATAATGCTAAATATTTAATTGAAAAGTAGTAAATGTCTTAGTTGGGGATAGCAATATATTTAAAAATCCTTAGATTTGTTTTTGTTTGTTTACAGTGATTCTTAAGGTGGTGGCAACTTTATTAAAAAACTCTACACCAAGTGCAGAATTGATGGAAGTTCGCCGTTTATTTTTATCTGATATGATAAAACTTTTCAGTAATAGCCGTGAAAATAGAAGGTACAAAATTTAAATACTACTGTAAAACTTTTATTCCACAATTTTTTTGTTCTTTGTAATTTTCAGTCTCTCAAGTAAGAAAATTTTAAATCTTTCCCAAATTGAAAAATAATCACTACAAAATATATTGTATATTTCTTTATGATAAAATCTGTTTTCAGTAAACTTTATTTCCATATGCTTCATTTAGTTATATTTTAATTGCACATATAAATATACATATATACAACTTGTACTGAAAATTCATTATTTTAGATGCCTCTTCATTACCAGCTGTACCTTTAATTGTAATTGTACTGGATTTGTCTATATCCGTTTTATTATTTGTCTTATGACCAGTTGTCTTTTATTTTAAAATAGGTGAACAAGGACATGAAGTACAGTATGAGGCTATGCAGTCTTATCTATGATTATTTCTTTAGCCTTTAACAAATACTGTCAATTGTGCTCCTGATAGTCTTAGTTCAGAGTTGTAGTATAATCCAATGAGGAAGACAGCCACAGAATATTGATCTATTTGTATTGTATTAGGTACAGTGTGAATTCTGAAGGTGATTGGAATGTAGAAAAAAGTGAATTAGACTAGGTTAGCTAGAAAATGATTCTAAATAATGATTTTTTTTTCATTAGAGGAAGAGAAGAAAGTTATAGAATGTGTAGAATAATTTTTCATTTAGATCAAATTTTCATTAGTGTACTAATTTAAAAATAGTAAATTCTAATTTTAGCACTTTTAATACAAATTCATTTTTTATTCTTAGATGTTTATTGCAGTGTTCAGTATGGCAAGATTGGATGTTTTCTCTTGGCTATATTAATCCTAAAAATACTGAGGAGCAGAAGATCACTGAGATGGTTTATAATATCTTCCGAATTCTTTTGTATCATGCAATAAAATATGAATGGGGAGGCTGGAGAGTCTGGGTAGACACCCTCTCCATAGCACATTCCAAGGTAAGAAGGGATTTAACATTTCACATCATCAAACTGTCAGCATTGAATTAAACTGCTATAAAACCTCATCTGGTGCCATCTTGTGGATAGTATAGATTATTGCAGGTTCCTTTATCTAGTTCTTTTGTTTTCTTACCTTGTTAGATGGCAAGGAGCCTGAAAGTATGTAGGTCTTTCAAAGCTCAAGTTTGTGCATTAGGATTCTTAGGTGCTGTACTGTTTAAAGCAGATGTAAGAAACTGAGTCTGGGCCAAATGCTGTTTTACCAAAAGCCTGCATAATTTTTATAAGAATATTTCATGAAATAGTCCTTAAAATATATTTTAAGGCTTTTTAAAGTATTGAGAACTGTTTAAATTAGTAATCCAATCATAATATAAATTGAATTATTTAATGATATTTTAAATTGCATTATAATTTGTTTATTTTTAATACTAAGACTCTGTCTGTGTTTTGAGTATGATTTGATCCTTGGTAAAGTGAAGTGAATTAAAATAAACTAGTTCTTATGTATTAGAGCCTGGAAGTTCAAAGTTAGGATTTCCCTCCATCTGGTATTATGTAACATCTGAAATTTGGCTTTGATCCACTTAATGTCATAATTGACTTTTGTGATTTTAAAAAATTCATTTAGTCATTTTAAAGCTTAGAAAGTATATTTTAAAGGAATAGCTAGTAAATATTTTAACCGTTATTGTCTGCACTGCCTGTGATGCCAGCTTCTCATCTACACTACATAGTTGAAGCAGCTACAGACTATATGTAAATAAATAAACATAGCTGTAATGTAAAAAGTGTTAGTTAACCAAACAGATGTCAGCTATGGCTTGTGGGCTGGTGGTTGCTTAATCCTCACTTTTTGAATTGACTTTATTCTCTAAATGAAGAGACTTTTGGAATATGGTAATAAAAGTCAACCTAAAACTCTGTTAACCTTTTACTATTAATATCATCTATATCTACAAGCAAGGATTTTGAAATTTTCCCAAAAGTTTTAGCAGAGCTTTTATATCCATATTTTAAATATTGGCATCTCATATTTAAATTAATATGAAAATAGCAAAGAAAAAGACATTGTACAAAAAAGTGTCTTGTGTATTCCTGAGTAATCCTATGTGAAGCTATGAAATTGAAAGTATCCTATATAGATAAAGCTGTGACTTAGCAGTTTATGAGTATATATGTTTATCATTTTGTGTGAGTTATTTTAAACAAGTTGTGATAGGTTATATATGAGGACTAGATTGTGAAAACTAACAAATAATAGTATTTTGGAATTACATATTATTGGCTGCCAGTTTTTCCATTAAGCCTAATCATGTGTAGGAGTTAACTGTCATATTAAGTTGGCGAATACTGAAATACTTAAACAAAAGAACCTTTAATATTGCTTCTTTTTCCTGTGTGTTTTTGAGTGAACTCATATAATCATATGCAGCTATTCTTGATTATTTTCAATATTTAATAAAACTAAGCACTAGTTTTAAAATTCTTATATGCTAATTTGAAATCTTATACTTCCTGATACTCTTTTTGCTATCATCAACATAATTTTATTGTATTATTTATGTTTTTTTTCTTGACACACGGAAAATGCTTCAGTGTTCTCCTTACTTATTCCCAAGGTCACTTATGAAGCCCATAAGGAGTACCTAGCCAAAATGTATGAAGAATATCAAAGACAAGAGGAAGAAAACATTAAAAAGGGAAAAAAGGGGAATGTGAGCACCATTTCTGGACTTTCATCGCAGGCAACAGGAGCAAAAGGAGGAATGGAAATCCGAGAGATAGAAGATCTTTCCCAAAGCCAGAGCCCAGAAAGTGAGACAGATTACCCGGTTAGCACAGACACACGAGACTTGCTCATGTCAACAAAAGTGTCAGATGATATTCTTGGGAATTCAGATAGGCCTGGAAGTGGTGTACATGTAGAAGTGCATGATCTTCTAGTTGATATAAAGGCAGAGAAAGTGGAAGCAACGGAAGTAAAGCTGGATGACATGGATTTGTCACCAGAGACTTTAGTGGGTGGAGAAAATGGTGCCCTTGTGGAGGTTGAATCTTTGTTGGATAATGTATATAGTGCTGCTGTTGAGAAACTACAGAACACTGTACATGGAAGTGTTGGTATCATTAAGAAAAATGAGGACAAGGATAATGGTCCATTGATAACATTAGCAGATGACAAAGAGGAGCTTTCCAATAATAGTGCATCATTTCTCTTTGAGAAAATACCCAAACAGGAAGAGAAACTCCTTCCTGAACTTCCTAGCAATCACATCATTCCAAATATTCAGGACACACAAGTGCACCTTAGTGTTAGTGACGATCTTGGGTTGCTTGCTCATATGACTGGGAGTGTAGACTTAACTTGCACATCAAGTATAATAGAGGAAAAAGAGTTCAAAATCCATACAACTTCTGATGGAATGAGCAGTATATCAGAAAGAGACTTAGCATCATCAGCTAAGGGGTTAGAATATGCTGAAATGACGACTACAACTCTGGAAACGGAATCTTCTGGCAGCAAAATTGTACCAAATATTGATGCAGGAAGTATAATTTCAGATACTGAGAGATCTGACGATGGCAAAGAATCAGGAAAAGAAATCCGAAAAATCCAGACCACTGCTACAACACAAGTAAGTTATATATGAATTCTAGAAATAAATAGAAATGCTTTGAATTAGGCAATGAGTTGTTGGAGCAAAATAGCAACAATTTCTTAACTTGTTTCATCATGTTTGTATTTCTATGATAGTAACTTATAAAATTGGGTGGTATGATATATATGAAGTTAAAAATGTCTGAATTATATCTGCAATTCTGGCACACTTGTCTGTGTAACTTTGGTTAAGTTCTCTGTGTCTGAAATCCTCATATAGCATAAGTCCCTGTACTGGAGTAGAATCTACCAGTTCTAACATTTTCTAACTCTGAGTGCATTCACTCATTTTGTACTTAAGATCTTCATTCAGAATACTTCATCTGTTTTAACATTTCAAGCTTTAGGTGCAGTTCTGTTCTGTGGTTTATAGAGGGGAGAACTGCTAAATGAAGGCGAAGGAAAAAGGGAACTAGTTCTTAATCAAGTATGTACTATGTTTCATGCACTATACAACATATTTTTAGATTTAATCTTTACAACAACCCTGAAAGATAGATAAATAGCTGAGACAACTTGAAATTATCAGTGAGAGTTTTTTTTTTTTTTTTTAACAACTGTGTGATAAGAATTCGTTCTGAAAAATTGAAGATCTGTAAGCCTGGTAGTTAGGAAGTGTTAGTACTATACTCTTGGCCACCGTAGAATAAAACTGAAAACAAGTGATGTTTTCTAATAAAGATTTTAGTTCTTGAACTTTGTGGTGTTACTAATTTTTTGGGGGGGCCTAATTAATATATTTTGATTAAGAGGTAAACAATAATTAATAATTTTACCCTCATTGATCTGGGTTTTGTTTTCTTCTGCATTTTTTCCTACCTCTTAATGATATTGAAGATAAATTTAACTTAAATTTAAATTTCCATTGCAGTTACGTGATAAAGAGTAAACCATACCTCAATAGTGTCTTTTTCCTCCAATAAAAATGCTCTGTAATACATTCTGTGGGTGGGAAGGTATTTTTTCTTTGTCCATTTTTGTAGCAGTGCTAATTGGCATGAATGGGAATATTGAATTAGGCTCATATTTAAAACAAAGGAAAACATAGTGTATTGTGTATTCGACATAGTACTTAGGCATAGAACATGCCTGTTTTTCTATTGAGAGTTCAAAGGCATTTTTCGTGTTGGTTTTCTATCTTATTAATTGCTTATGTTTCATTGAAATATTGTGACTGAAACTGACTTTGGAGTTAAATTCAGTCTGGTAAGTAGTATTTCATTTGTTTTAGATTGTAAAACATTGATAACATGTATTCAGTATACTTCATTTTGTGCATGCTCACTTCTTAAATCATTTGTGACAGTCTAATGCACAGAACCTACAACAGGGCAAAGAGTATCTGGTTTTCAGTGTGAACTGCTGTTTCAATCTTAGCTATTTGTTTACCTTACCTAGCTTCTGCAATATAATAATAGGTGCTATTATCCTTTTAAGCCTCAAAAGACATTCCTGTGCAGGGATTTACAGGTGAAATGCATATTTAAAATATATTAACCCATTCAAGTCATATGTAAAGACTTGATTCACTTTATTATATTCACTATTTTCATTTTAAAATCAATAACATCTTTTGTACTCCACCAAAGTTAACCTTTTTTTTTTTTTTCCAGGCTGTTCAGGGTCGGTCTATCACACAACAGGACCGAGATCTCAGAGTGGATTTAGGGTTTCGGGGAATGCCTATGACTGAGGAACAGCGTCGCCAGTTCAGCCCAGGTCCGAGAACTACAATGTTTCGGATTCCGGAGTTTAAATGGTCTCCAATGCACCAGCGGCTTCTCACTGATTTGCTGTTTGCATTAGAAACCGATGTACATGTTTGGAGAAGGTAGAACCATTTCTTTTCTATTAATATGACTATTTTAGGAAAATGAATATTGTTATTAATTGGTATTAACTGATTAATAAGTGATTTATGTCATTGAATAAAACTCACAAGTTTTTAAAAAATATTTACACATTTACATTTTTGATAGATCAGCATTTTACAAGGATCATAAGGCCTGAGAATCATCAAGAGTAACAATTTAGGCAGAAGGCTGTTTAAGAAGCCAAAATTTGACATCTAGCACTGCTTGTTCTGTATCAAAATGGTTTAAATGCCAACTTTGATTTATATTTCTGTATTTGTACTTTTCTCATTAAAATGAATACTTTGCTGTATATTTATTCTTGGTATCAGTATTATAACTTGTAGTACTAAAATAAAATCTCAAATCACACCATGATGCATATGTTAGAGCCTATACTGTTTCAGCTGTTAATGGATATCAGCTCAAATATAGTCACTTAATCTACATGAATTATCATTATCTTTTTAAATTTTCAATTTAATTTTATTACAGCAAATTAATTATAACAAATGTATCATATGTACATATATGTAAATTAGGAAATTGATAACTCTAAGTAACAATTCAATCATCAGCAGTTTAACACTGACATTCTCAAGTGTCCAACTGGCTTCTTGGCTTCTCATTTTCCTTGTGGGATTCAAGGTGACTGCTTTGTTTCTAGTATCAACTTGCTTAGGAAAGGGCAGTCTTTTCACAGCCTGCTTTTTTTGTTTGTTTTTTTTCTCTTGTTTCTCTCCTTCACTTTTGTTTTCATTCTCCAATTCATCTTATTTACTTTTTTTTTTTCCTGAAAGAAGTCCCTCAAGAAATTTCTCCTTTATGGTCCAACAGGATCCTATGTTCATTTCGAAATCAATCACCAGCAGTAGGGAATGGGATTATAATAATGACTGACATATGTTGACCAGAATTGGTTAGTAATGCAGTAACTGAGGTGAGGACAGACTTTCCTGTGTCCACAACAGCTTGATAATAAATCAACATTTAGAATATTTCATCAGGAAAAGAGGACTATCATTAAAGCACTCAATAGAATCTGCCATTGAAAATTTTTACTTTGGATTTTATTTTGATCAATTTGTTCTTAGGCTACTCATTTTTATTTCTAATGATGTTACATGGTGATTTTCTGAGGGGTGATAACTGAAGAAAATTAAATACCATGAATTATGTTTCTGTTACAATGAAGATCACTATATGGTGATAAATAGTGTAATTTATTGGTTATAAGTAGCCCCAAGTCAGTGACTCTCAACTTTCTCCCCATTGAAATACTGTGTGTCTTTATTTCATAAAATTTCCCAGAGTTTTATGTAATTTTAAAAGAAATATATGCTAGCTCTTTTTTTTTTTTTTTTTTTTTTTTTTGTCTTTTTGAGACATGGTCTCGCTATGCAGTTCAGGCTGGACTTGAGCTCACTTTGTAGCCCAGACTGGTCTCTTAACTCGCAATGATCCTCCTGTCTCAGCCTCCTGAGTGCTGGGATTACAGGCATGAGCTACCACACCCGGCTGCTACCTTATTTTTAGAACAGGGGAACATATCTTGATATCCAGGATACAGTAAATAATATTTTCTGACTAAAAAGAGGATAATTATCAACCTAAGGTTGACCATGGAATAATCTTTTTTATTTATTTCTACTAGAAAGCAGTTCATAATTTTGACTGATATCAGCAAAGCTGTGTATTTCTTTTTGTATCTGTATTATATATGTTGTATAAGAAAACTACATTACTGACTTACCTTAAGATACTTTTCCTTTTCTCCTCAATTAAGTCCTCAAATTTTTATCACTTTGTGTGTACTCTACTGTCATGTCACTTGTGTGATGAAAAGTATACATTTTCTTCATGCCTGGTGATGTGTGAGCTGCAGTAGGGTCATGTGACATATTTAAGCTTCCTAAAAGTTGAAAGCGTTCAGTTCATTATTTATTGTTTTGCTATTGAAAGAAAAAAACAATCTTAGCAAAAATAAGTATTTTTAGTTGAATTCACTAATTTTTTTTTTTTTTAAATAATGAGTTAATATACTTGGGCAGAAAATTCTGTGAAGATGGACATTTAGTTTGTGGTAATAAAATATTTTAATTGTAAATTGTTTTCTTATTAACTCAATTTTAAATTTGTCTCACTTCCTTAGTATTCTATAATTAGATTTTACTTCAAAAGTGTTGTAATTCTACGTGATGTAAACCTCTTATTCTTAAACCAAGGAAATATTCATTTGTGTTGTTTTTCTGCTATTTTAGCCATTCTACAAAATCTGTGATGGATTTTGTCAATAGCAATGAAAATATTATTTTTGTACATAACACAATTCACCTCATTTCCCAAATGGTAGACAACATCATCATTGCTTGCGGAGGAATTCTACCTTTGCTGTCTGCAGCTACATCACCGACTGTAAGTACTTTGCCTCCATCTAGTGGTTATATTTTATAATTACATGAATTAAGCATTTCACTAGTGCCCAATACTACAAGACTTTAACAAATTTTTCCACTGGAAACTTTTTAACCATTTAAATTTATTTATTTATACAGTTGCATTTAAGACATGCATGTTTTTGAAAATATGTCCCAGCTAATTTTTTTGAGCAGTTTTGGGGAAGAGCCATAACTATAAATGATTTAGCTTTGTTATATATTTGTATTCTGCATATTCTATTATATATATATATATATATATATATATATATATATATATATATATATATTACTACTGTCTCTCTTCATATATATATATATATATATATATTATATCGTACAATAAGCTGTTTAAACTCTTATATAACATTTTTATGTGCCTTTGTTTATTGGTGCAACATTTACTTTTGTAAATTTTGCCTTGTCTATTTGCTTATATAAAACCATGAGATGTATCAAAATAAATAATTTAAAAAGCATTTGATGTCAATTATGTATACCATTCGAAATACAATGAATCAATAGTGTATTAACTTTATATTTTAGTTTTAATTTTTAAAATATTTTGGATTCAAGATTTAAATGCATCTGAGTGGTAAAGTTCCTCTTGTTTTTTATTTGTTCAGCCCTGCGTTTGTTACCAAGTGCTACAAAGAAACAGGACTCTTTAGCTATTTTTTCAGATGGGAAAGAATATGAAATTTGGTTCCCATATACCCTGTGTTTTGTTTATTTGTTTTGTTTCTGTATCAAGAATTGAACTCAGGACGACCTTGTGCTTGCCAAGCAGGCCCTGTGCAGCTGAGCTGCGTCCTTGGCCCATAGCCTGTGTCCTTGGCCCATAGCCTGTGTCCTTATTGCCACCCTTGAGCCCAGAAAGTATGCCTTTGCAAGAGAGAAACCTTATTTTATTATGATGCTGTTGCTTGGTGATGCAGAGTTTACAGATTAATCTTTGAATTTATTTTGTGATTAGCAAGCTTCTTTACCTAACTTTCTTCTCATTATTTTGTTGTCAATGCCACTATCACAGAGCAGTATCAAAGCTTAAATTATTAACAGCAACAGATTATATGCTTCACGCATCTCCCTCAGCCATATACACCTGTATTTCATTCATGAGCTTATTCAATGCATATATAAAAGACATGCAGGCTACTTTGGGAAGGAGTATAATGCAACAGGTTATCATTTAAGGCCTTAATGGAATTAACACCTAAGTCAAGAAAACCGAGCCAAGAAGAACAGCATAAGTAGCTGATGATATGTGATGAATGCAGGTATCTTGAGAATCATACAGTGTCATTTCTCTGTAATGTGAGTCCCCCTCCCATAGACACAAAATTTTGATAAAATTTTAAACATGCATTATAATAGTGAGATAGGAAAGTTGCTTTTTCCTTTTGAGTTTTATGCCATAAATTATAATTTTTGTCTACAAGCTTTTAATTATTTTGTTAATATTCATTTTAAAATACATATTGAATGTTTTAAAATTGCACAGAACAAAAAACTTTATATAAATCAATAAACTATATAAAGCAATAAATCATGAAAATTTGCCAATATTTGACATATTTACATTACTAAGTAGTCTCCTAAATTTTATAGGCAAAAGGGCTATGTGTCAAGATGGAAAAAATATTAATATAATATTAATAATATAAACTATACATTTGCTGATTTCTAAATATGAAATACAAAATAAAGATACTGACATTTTAAGATTTGACTCCAAAATTATTACCTGTACCATGTTACCATGATAGTGTGGAATTTGAAACTGCAAACTGTCTAAACTTTTCTCAATAGATTGGAAATTCTTTAATGAGGAAAGTTTATTGTCTCTGTCACTCTATTTCTGTTGTTTTAGTTCATTAACTGATTGTACCTGTGCCTGGGTGTACAACATACCTAATTCTGTGCTCTTTGAATAAACTGCTTCCTTAAAAGGAACAGGCAGAACTTTTCTCCCACTTTATATCTAAGAGAGCCATGATGGATGCTGACTAGAGAGAGTCGGGGGAGAGAGGGATAGAGAGGGAGGTGATGATTTAAAAATGATTATACATATTCATGATGAAAGTTAAAGCAGAGAGAAAAACTTAGGATGGAGAAAGACTAAAGAAGGAAAGTAGAGCAGAACTATGGGCATTTTGAATGTAGAGGTAAAATGCAACAAGTCAGAAGAGAATTTTGGAAGAGATAAGAGGAAAAGGAATATACAGATCACCAAAGGGACATGTTATCTTATAAATGCCATTAGAATTTCAGTTCTAAATATATAAAGACAAACATTTTGAAGCAAATGTGTGTCTTATAAATAAATCAGAGAAGTGATGCCTATAGTCAGCAAACTTTTTCTGCTTGGAGTAGGATAGTAAATATTTCAGATTTGGTGAGGTATATACTGCAGTCCCAACCACTTAATTCTACTATTATAGTATAAAAGCAGTTATAGCACATAAGTGATATGTGTGTTTTAATAAAACTTTGTCTTTAAAAAGAGGCAGTGAAATAGATTTATCTTATACATCATAGTTTACTGAACACTGCCAAAACAGTGTCATAAATGCAAATTTCATGGTATAATGACGTAGTGTAAAACTTTACTACTTACTACTGGTCATTGAAAACGCAGTAGAGTTTAAATTCACTCTTTTCTATTAAACAAGAACTTGAATTTGACTTACCATTTACTACAGTTTAATTTTTAAAATCATTTCACTGAACATTCTTGTCATTATGTTCTCTTAGAAAACATGTAACCTTTTTCAGTCAATGGTACTCATTTGTCTTTGGAGTTCTAATGTTGAACTTATACTAAATTTTGAAAAGTAGAATGTGAAATACTAAATTTTGAAAAGTAGAATGTGAAGTGTTCTTTATGTTCGCCATTTTTTAAAAAAGACCTAAAATAAATCCTGGAATATTCTTTGCATTTCTCAGAGTAAGTGTTGACCCCTGAGTGCTTTTTAAATGCAAACTCAGAAATTACATTTCTCTTCCTCCCCTATCTCCTTCTCCTCTCCTCTCCTCCCTTTCCCCTCCCCTCCCCTCCTCACTCCTTTCTTTCTCTCTGTCTCCCTCTTTCTCTCTCTGTCTTTCTCTGTCTCTGTCTGTCTGTCTGTCTGTCTGTCTCTTTCTCTGTTTCTCTCGGGGCCTCACACTTGTCAGTCAGGCCCTGTGTCACTGAGCTATATCCCCAGCTCAGAAATTACCTTTTTTGAAATCATGATTTAATGAAAGATGTTTGGGCTTTAGCATAAAATGGTTGAATTTTAAACTGGCTCAATCATTTACTAGATAAGACCTCTTCCTGGGTTTCATTTGTTAAAAGGAATAAATTATACTTACCCTTCATGGAGATTGTGAAAATTAATTTTGATTTTACATGTAAGGTATACCAGAAAACCCTCTTAATGAAACTTTTCTTTCATTGAGTTCTTTTTGTAACTATTTAGTTCCTTTTGGATCCATATACTGTTGAAGTAGTCTTCTTATTTCTAAATAAGAATGGAATAGTCAAAATGATGAAACTATACATAAAATTTTAGATAAATTTAGTTATTATGGATGATCTGTTTTGATAGCAAAAGGCTAAAGTGGCATACTTTTTTGACTGGTATTTGCATGAGTTTGCCCATAGACGTGATCTATTTTATGCCTTAGAACCTTAGATTAATATGACAGTTTGCACTAGGGATAACATTTGTGTTTTGCTATTGCAGTATCATCATCCTGAAAGAAAATTTTAAGCTTGTTGGTATTACTTGGGAAAATATAATTTAATGGGAATTTAACAAAGAATATAGTTCTACATTGCTAATAATGATAGTGATAACTCTGAATTTAATATTGTTGAGTAACACTTTATTGTGATTTCAGGTTACCTAGATTATTTAAAATCATGTGGCAGAGAATATGTTATAAAAATAGTTTTAAATTTCTAAATTAAACCAATAGTTCTAACTTCAAAACATTGGAAAAACAGAACATGTTAGACTTATCTGTAGTTTGAGGAAGGAGCATGACTTTTGGATTGTGTTTTGCTTTGTTTTGTTTTTGAGTTAATGTGTATAGGACTAGTCAGTGGAATCCTCTCATTTATTTTCTACCATGTTGTACAAGTTGCTCATGAATGAAAGAGAAAGAAAAAAAGAATGAAGCAAAGAATATGGGTTAACCACAAATTACATAATCATTGTGATTTTAAGTTCACCATTTTATTTGAAGCCTGTAGAGCACTGAATGTTTACAATTTATTTCACTGTCATATGTGGTTTAATTTTGTCTGTCCCAGAAAAAAAAAAACAAAAAACAGAAACCAATATTTTTAGTTTTCCCAAAAATTTCGTAATCCTTAGAAGGAACTCAAAACTAATGAGAAAGTTTTAATTTTAGTTTATTATTTTAAATTATCAAGATGCAGTTAATATATTTGAAAAAATTACTAAGTATACTTCTGGTTTTGCTTTTGCTTACCTCATGGAACTAATAATGCTACAGTACTCATAGGGTACTTTTCTATATTTTCTAGTGAATGTACCTAGAGATAACTTATTTTCAGATTTGTGATTACATATGTTTGTTGTCAAAAAAATAGACAGTATAAATAGTTGCTGACTAATAATTGTGAAAATCCTCCATAATTTTTTAAAGTTATCTTTAAATGCATAAGACACTGAAATTTCTTAGTTCATACATAGGCTTTATTTTTTAAGTTCTTTTCTGACACACGAAAATGGTTTTTAAGTGAGAATCACTTAAATATTTCCATTTTGATATATAGCAAGGGTTCTGAATGAGAAACAAATTCTAATGACTTCCTTATAGAGAGTTCTAGAAGGTTGGTAAAAATAGTTAACCTCCCTGAATTATCCCTGCTTAAATCAGTACCAAGTTAGAGTTTTTGCAGATGCATTATATTAGTTCATTTATTAAAATGTTTCATTAATCATGTAATGGGAAAAGATACTTGTTTTGTAAAAGAGAGTGTGCTTACTTTCTATTATATGAACTATATATATTGTTTTGGCAGTTACTAAAAAAGAACTAAATTTCAGTCTAAATATTTCATACATAATTTGAGCACATGTAATTTATAAAATGAATATCTCTTTCTGAAAGTTTGGCTTTTAGTAATATAATCAGATATGATTTTAAATGTTATTTTGTGTTTCAATTTTACATTGTATTTTCATTTAATTTTAATAAGTTTTTTTTCTTGTATTTTTTTGGTCTGTTGTCTGTTTTGTCTAATGCATGTCCAGGGTTCTAAGGTTAGTATTACTTCTGCAGTAATTTTTAGCTTTTTAGTTTTAAATTTTATTTTTACTTATTTATGAAATTTTGACTTGGTTATATTTTGAGTTTCTTATCATTAATATTAAGTGATATCCTTTGTATATTTTAAACAATCATTAAAAGAATTATTTTCCCAATACATTGATGATTTACTGTTTTATTAATTATTCTCAATAATGAATACACTATTGTAATATAACGAAAACAATATTTTACAGCCATATATACAATCAAATTTAACTGATTACAATGAAAGGAAATAGCATGAGATATCTGATACTGTAAAAATTAATAAGTGCGATTGATTTACTTTAAAAGCCTATTTTAAAATTTTATAAAATGATTAGCTTTTCATCGTATTTATAAATTACACAGAACAAAATAGATCTTACACAGAACAAAACAAGAGATCTCTTTTAGGTTATTTTCATGTTAAGACTGACTTTTACTTTAAGGTGTAATTATTTAGTAAGAAATAAGTTTTCAGTAACATGTTCAATTTAGAAATTCTATTTATAATTATAAAATAAGTGAACTATAGCTACTGCTATAGCTTTCAAAATAACTTATAAGTAATATTGCTAGCAAATAAAGAGAGGTAGATACAATTTCAGTATTTCAAAATGAATACACATTTCTTTGAGAACACATCTTTATACATGCCAAGTTCTAATACTTTAAAGGCATTTCACAGTGTTGATACTGCTAAGCAGTGGCCACATCTTCCATTCAGTTATAGAAAATTTAAATTGAAACGGATTTACAATGAATGTTTTGCTTTAAAAAAGAAAAACTGTTTCATCATGGTCACAAGTTCTTATTCATGGTGCAATGTATTCATCCTATGTAGGCTATGCTCTGTGTCCAAGCTGTGCTTGAAACGTTGTACTTCTATGAAGTGTCACTGTGTAAGAAATTTGTGATTGAAAGTATAAGAAATAAATTAATTTTATAGGTTGTGAATACTGCGTTGACATAATATAAATAATATATACTAAGTAATTGAAAGCAAACTTTTTTTTCTATTTCCAAATTCAAATTTGGAAAGAAAAGTGCTAATCTTGTTTTGTTGGTAAATGGAAGGAAGAAAGGCTGTTATATTTCATACTCAGATTTAAACTTAGATTTAGTTATATAGTGCATGCAGTAGCTATCTATTAGATTAGAAGCAATGACCCATCTCATATGGAAGTGTTTTCTAAGGACATTCCCAATCACTGTTTTCCTCTGATATTTCAATATTAATGTCCCTGCTCCTTTCAAACAGGAAGAAGTGTAGGTAGAATGATGTATATAAATAATATCAAAATGAACATTGTATATGAACAGAAATCTACATATGCTATTCTAGTTGAATTTATCATTTTGGTTAAGAGGTAAGATTAATCAGTATAATTAGTGTGGCCATTTTAAGCAGTAGTGTTTATACAATTTATAGAAATATTTTTATTTTTAAGGCATTTTGTACTTTGCTCATTTAAGCACTGAGAAAATAAGGAAATGAAACCTAATCGTAAGGAACTCAAACCATTAAAATATTTTACAGTACACAATGGAAAATAAAATTAGAAATGTTGCCATTGCTTATAAAACTACAAAGTTACGCATTTAAGAAGCAGGATACTTTGTAATATTTCCTCTGAAAGCATGAAATTAGATTTTATCACAGATAATATTTTAGTGCAAGTATAGCTTTAAATCTAGAATGCTGCTGATTCTTATTACCAGTATTTTGTATGTCAAAAATTAAATATCTAAAAGGAATTAATGATCCTCTTGATTATTTTTACTTGAGTTTTATTGTGCACATGAAATACCTAGTGGTTTCAGTTCATTCAAAAATGGGTAAGAAATTATACATTCTAATTTGACAGCCATCTCATCTTGATGCCAAATGAAATCAGAACATCCATAGCCTTTTAGAAATGAGAATGAGGATATTAGGAAACAAATGTCAATTTTGTAACTTTGTAAAGTAAGAAAATAGTATACATTAACATATGCAGTTATTTATTTTTTTACAACTAATAACATTTAAACAGCATATATTTTATATTTTTTCCTTTATTGAGGTAAATTATAAGTAAACTACATTTTTTGATAATGATGATATATGTATAGAATTAGTTTATCATTTATTTTATTTCATGTGTTAAACTTCTGTTTACTTGTAGTATCTGTTATATAGCTTATAGTTCCCACTTTTAAACAAAACTTCACTCTTCTACTTTTTTAAAGACGGAATTGGAGAATATAGAAGTGACACAAGGCATGTCAGCAGAGACAGCAGTTACTTTTCTCAGCCGACTGATGGCCATGGTTGATGTACTTGTATTTGCCAGTTCTCTAAATTTTAGTGAGATTGAAGCTGAAAAAAACATGTCTTCTGGAGGTTTAATGCGACAGTGCCTAAGACTAGGTAAGTCTGTTAAGAGTAACAGTACATTTTACGTAATTATTCAAGCTTACTTTCATACAGTTCTATGGTATAAAACATATTGGTGTAAGTAGATGGTTATCCAATTTAGTAGTCCTTTATTTTTTCAGAATTAAATTCACATTAGATATTTAATGGAATTGAAAACCTTAATTATTACTTGAAATACCATCACAAATATTAGGTTAGATTTCCAATCTAGAGTCAACCTAACGAGGCAGAAAGACTTAGCGCAGTGTGCAGTAGCAGGTCCAGGTTCTGAAATAGACAACTTAGCAGCTCTTAAGCCTGGGGTGGGGTGCAGAGCTTAGGTCACACAAAAAACTGTGGAGTGAAATAAGGAAATTAGCTGACTCTGAATCTAGAGTTAAGGTTAGGCTACTGGAGATGGGGATGGAGGGCTTTAAAGCTGACATTTCATCGTTTTGCTTTAGAGATATAAGAAAAAATAAAAAACATAAAAATTGGGCATTGTTGGGCTGAGGATTTAGCTCAGCGGCTAAGCGCCTGCCTTGCAAGCAGGCAGTCGTGAGTTCGATCCCTGGTACCAATAAAAAGGGAAAAGACAAAAAAAAAAAAAAAAAAAAAAAAAACTTGGGCATTGTTGAGGATATGGAAAGGAAGATTGAAAATGGCTAGGACTTGATGTTCTTTGACTAGTTTCTACTGTGTTCTGCTGTGTTGTAGGGTTATATGACGTTTGTTTGCTGGCTTGTTTGGTTTGTTGTCTACCTTTCATTGTTTGGATGAAATTCTTCATGGTGCGCAATAGGTATGGTCCCACTGGTCCTGGATCTTGCTTAGGTTTTGTGCTAGGTCCTGTGATAAGCGTTAGTAGAAGGTGAGAGATCTGGTTAGTTTTCACAGCCTAGTGGCTATTTCTATGGGTATGTTGTTAGAGGAATTGCAGTAATTTACACTTTTGGCAAATATCATCAGTGATGGGGATAGGTAGGAGTTGGTGTTGGGGTCCACATTGATATTAGGGGATGAGTAGCTAAGGTATATGTCTTTCTCTGTCTGCTTAGTGGGCAGGCACAGACAGCTACAAAGCAAAAAGACTCCTGATTGGGAAAGGCAAGTCTTGAGATGTAGTGAGAAGTGGTGTAAAGTACTATATGTGGTCCCAACTGTGTATTAAAAACGGCTTGGCTCATTTTTCTAGATCATGTGCTTATGTTCCAGGAGGGCTCTCTTATGGGTTGAATTGAAATAGGGTTATTGGAGGGTGAGATATTAGTAAGATCTAGCAGTGTATCGAATCAATCCGAGCACCTTTGTAAGAGTATTTAATCTGTTTACATCTTTAGACAAGCAGAATGGCTATATTTTTATACCTGCCTTAGAACATTAGCGGGTCAGAAGAAAGCAAACCAGGAGATAGGAAGTTCCTGATATGTATACCTTTTACTCATAATTTTGAAAAGACACAATAAAAAAACTCCACATTGGTAGTTGTTGGGGAGAAGTTTTAATGCAAGGAAAGAATAAGGAACAAATGGTAGATTTAAACCTGCTTGTTTTGTATTTTTAAAAGACAATCAAATTGAGAGGAATTATTTTGTATTCATTATAACATAGATATTGACCACTTTGGGCTATCTCTGAAACCAAGAGCTATAGGTTAATTTCCTGTGGCCATTACAAACATTTACATTGGTAATTAATAGATTGAACTTGTAAAACTGATTTAAATATTTTTAAATATCTGAGTGTCTTCTCTTCAAGATTAATTTAGTTATTCTGAGTTATTTATAAATTGATTTTATTTTTATCTTAATAGTACCTAATAGATTTAAGTGAATAATAAAGCAAACATTTATCACTTGTTTTGTTATTTGCTATTCTAAGTCTTTGCATAAATTAATTTAATCATCAAAATAGCTCTCTAAAGGAAAAGTGATCTTTATCTTCAGTTTACTTATGAGAAAACTGAGGCAAACCTAAAACCAAACAACTCATGTTTGTAGAATCAGGATTTAAACTCAGGTGTTGTGATTAGAAAATTTGTGTAACTGGTTTTAATACTTGACTATTTGCTAAAATAAGTTAACATGTTAAATGCTTATCAACAGTGGCTGTAGATTCACCTGCTATGAGGAGAGTAGATATTGGGGTTTGTCGCACTTTTAGTGTACCTGAAGTGGGAAGTTATGAACTGATATTCTTCAAGATATTGAAATTAAGGGTGGATGCCTTATTATTAAATTTTTTAATTACATACAAATTTTAAGTTATTATAATTTTCAATTGAGCTATAGGACTCACAATTGGGAGAGATAGAGGGAAGTAGAGTAAGGAAGGATATATTGGGAACTTCAGAGATCCTGTTAATATTCTTTCTCTTCAGCAGGCTATTGTTTTTATTTTTAGGTACATAGTATATATTTTATATACTTTTATTATTGTCCATAATTTAAAAAGATTTATTGATTGTTGATTTTGCAAAATAGTAACGAGTGAAGGAAAGGAAGATAATAGAAGAATAAATACGCTGACTTGTTTTTCAGTACATCAAAAACAACAGCTTATGTTTAATATATGCTTCTGATTGTTTGAATAGTTTGTTGTGTAGCTGTGAGAAATTGTTTAGAATGTCGACAAAGACAGAGAGACAGGGGAAACAAATCTTCCCATGGAAGCAGTAAACCTCAGGAAGCTCCCCAAAGTGTGACTGCCTCAACTGCATCAAAGGTAATTAGCCATATTCTGTGCTAATAAATCTTATCTAATGGGAAAAAATTATCTTGGTTTATGAGAACAAAGCAACATGACATGGGTAATCAGAAAAATCTAAGCCTTGGTGTTGGTTTCTCTACTTCATGATTATCTTACCAAGATTATTTAACCTTTCTGAGATTTGCATTCTGGGGTTATTGAATGAAGATACTGATGTAATAATTTCCCATTCATAGGGTTTGTAACAGAATTATATCAGCACATAGCAATAGAAAGTCTTCATTTCTATTTTTAATAGTTAAAAATTTTTCAGAGTTCAAAAATGAGTAATTCAGTTTTTAAATGGATGTGTATTTGGTGATAGACTATAGTAATTATCAATAAAAATAAATTGACCACCAAATGAATAATAGTATAGAATATTTAAAATATACTAGTAATTCTTATATTAAATTAACTCTCTTCATCTTTTTTATTAACACTGCTTCAAAGTCTTGTATGGCTGATCATTTCCTCCCCAGCTGTAGTGTGTATATTTGTACCCTCCACTTTGACTGTACTGCTTTAATCATACTACTGACTTTGTTTAGTTCATAAAAAGAACAACTTTTAGACTTTTATATGTTTTCCTATGCCTTTATCCTGATCTTTTACCCTGTTATCTTTTATCCTGATCTGTTCAACTCTTGATTTTAGCTTAAAGTTTGTTGATATCCTCATCGCCACTGCATTCTAAACAGGTTGCTCTGATGTTTCTGTTAAGTTCCAGTGTTGTCTCTTATCACTCACTGTACTTGTACTTAGTTGTTTAATAATAATGTAGTAATTTAATTTTTTGCTAAATAAGTGAAATAGAAATTTAATTGATTTTATAAGTTCTGTGCCTTTAAACTTCTCCAATTTTTGAACAGACCAACCACATATTTATTATATGCATTGGTTATTTACAGTATTACAGCCTCTTTTCTTTCTCACTGTAGTCAAGTAAACAATCACAGATAATTTCACTGTATATCAGTTTACTACTCAGATGACTCCACAGGGCCCTCTATTGCTTGGCAAATTAAATATTAATGTGTCAGCAGTCTACCTCATGTTATTAGTAGACTGTTACTACAGGCAGTGTCCATTTGTTGTACATCTTTGTAACTCTTTAGAGCACTGGAATACTTTGTAAAAAGAAGACAGTTCTGAGTTGGTATTCTGTTTAGCCATTGCTAGTTTCATGACCTGAGACAAATTTCTTAGTCTCTTGACTCTCAATTTTGCCATTTTGCTCATTGCAAATCTTAATTTATTCTTGGTTATATTATTAAACAAAAAATGATGCACAAAAGTACTTAGCAATTCCTGGCATATGGTGAACATTCAACTGATAATGACTTTTTTTCATTCTCTATTTTAAACACTCAGTATTGTCCTAAATCAAACCACACAGTATTAGGAAATAAATAAACAAATTAATATTTTGGAAAGTTTAGATCTTAAAAGTTGTACATATTTCATTTAGTTGATAATAGGGAGCTTTCTGAGATTTTCAAGCCAGACAGTGTTCTGTGGGTCAAATATGGGCTGAAAAGCCCATGAATGTAAATTGGTAGTAAATTAGTTAACCTAATATTGTCTCGTGTCTCTTTGGCAAGATATTTGTCATGGAAAAATGGGTAAATCCTGTATATAGAAATACTAGATTGGAGTTGGTAACAAAACACTTTCAGGACAGAAGAAATGGACTGGAGTAAACAAGTTTTTATTTTTCTGTTTCTTTTTTTTTTTTTTTCCTCTTCCTGTTATGTTTCCCACATGGCATTTTAGAAAGAAACAAAACCTAGTTAATCTTTCTGTATACAAAACAAAACAAACAAACAAAAAAAAGCACCAGTTCCCTGCCACTAATCTGTATGGAATTGTGTGAGTCACAAATATCTATGAAGCCTCATTTTTATCCTGTGGGGGGGGGGGGGAAGGAACCGTAGACCAAGCTTTTCCTATCATGTAGTCTTTGTAATGGTCAAATTAAGATAGTCGTAAAACGTAAAATCGTGTGTTTAAATAATTCTAGTTTTCTCCATCTGTATTGTAAATATTATGTTCATTAAATCTTCATATGAGAAATATTATTAGTCTGTTGTTTAGATAATCTAGCTTAGTTTTACAAAAGCCAAGATCTCCTGTAGGATCCCAAAGCTGGTACATTTTGAATTGCAATGGAAATCAAATAACTACTAGCCTTCAAATGCCATGCTCTTTTTACTGTTTTGTGCTACAAAAGAATCAAATATTTTGATTTAATAGTGAAATGTCATGCGTGACACCATAGAGATGTAGAAATTGGTCTGTTTTCTGTCATAGCAACAAAAAGCACATATTGTTTATGTACAGGAATTATATTTGGCACTTTAAATATATTATCAATTTTATTTAACATAATTTTTAATGCATTCTATAGGTGAAAAAATACAAGGTTGAGCTTCAGGAAATAAGGCTTATTAATTTAATATGTGATTATATTACCTAAAATCTGTAGAGTGTTGCCAATAAATTTTAACTGAAAGAAGAGCAAGTAAAGGATGTGGCCACTTCAGAATAAGTTAAACGTATTAGAAATGATATTTCTATGTAACTTTCTGGTAGTTGTTACTTTTATCATTCCCTTTTGTTTTACTCATAATTTTCTTTTGTTTTTAAGGCTCCCTTGGAAAATGTTCCCAGTAATCTTTCTCCTATTAAAGATCCCGATAGACTTCTTCAGGATGTTGATATCAATCGCTTGCGTGCTGTTGTCTTTCGGGATGTGGTAAGTTAGGTCTGTTTAGATTCTCTAAAAAGGGAACCTCCACAGTCATTTGTGTAATTTAAATTTTACAATGAATCTTTTTGTTGAAAATAAATATCCTTAATTTGTTGGATGTTTCTGATTGTAAAAATAATTAAGCCTTAGCATTCTCTGAAAGTTTATCGATGTCATTTTTTAAAAAATGAAATGTCTGATGGAGGAGGGGTGGCCCTGAAAAACTATAATTTACTTTATCCTGCATCATCTACTCCTTTCTCACATTATTTCTTGCTCCATCTCCAGGTACTGAAAGTTTTATTATTAATCAGTGTTACTATATTATGGATGAAAGGATTAGGTCATTAGGTATTGAAGGTGATTAATTTGTATGGAAGTTATTCTTTTAAAAGCAGCTGTATTTTAAAAATATAGACATCTACAGAAATTTGAATTAGACATGTAGCTTAATAAAGATTCAGAGAAAAAAAGTTTAGGGGAAGATTTTGTAGAACCCACTCATCACATGATCACTTACTCTACGTAAGTAAAGTAGTGGCTTTTCTATGAACTTATAAAAAATGCAGTGTTGTATAGCAGATTCAATATTGATAGCATTTTTAATATAATTATCATGAATCAGCCATTTTGTATTTTTTTAATGATTCAAGAAATGTATGAGGAGATTTATGCCCCAATGTTTTATTTAATAATAAACTTAGTGAAACGTTTTCCACTTCAAACAATGGTTAAGATATATTTAAGTAATATGGAATAGCATGATACGACATGATAGGAATGTACAAGATTACTTGTCATTCATGTGTATATTCTTACAAATCCCTGGAAAAATTAATGAAAACATAAGGACATAAAAATAGGCAATGGATATAAAATGTGAAATACAAGATAACAAACATGATAAAAGGTCATTATTACAAATAGACAACAGAATACAAATCAAAAATGCAAGATACTTTTCACTATTAATAAAAATTTAAAATATTAATACCTAGCATTATAAAGGTACAATGAAAGATGCTGCTATATAATCAGTTGTATGTAAATATAGATTAGATAAACATTTATTTACCCCTATCAACTTGTGTTAAAACTCTTGCAAATGTTGATGTCTTTTGACTCAGTCATTCAACTGGGAAATCATTTAACTTAATGTTTTCATCAGGCATGATTACAGGAAAGTGACAACATTATAAATACTCCAGTGATATGTTTTAGCTAAGTAGATCTTTGCATATTCACTTATCAAAAAACTATACAGTCCCTAAAATATTTTTGTGGGAAATTCATTTGAAACAAATGATTCAGGATATAGTTTAAGGAAAAGAGACAATATGCACAAACACATTAGTATTAATACAAATATTACGTATGTGTATACTTTTACTCTTAAAAAGAAAAAAAAAATACCAAAATTACAACGATAATTATTTCTAGATAAGTAGATTCTATTTTGTCTTTTATTTTTCTACAGTTATTTGTATTTTCAAATTTTCTATAATATGCCAATATTACTTCTATAATTCCTAAGTAACAAGGTAGTATTAAAATCATGATTAAAAATGTTATTTAATATCTGATTCTGTGTCCTGAAAAAGAGATTTTTGCTAACAGTTTAACTGTTTAGAACTATGTACTATTTTGAAAAAAATATTTTTAAGCAAATGAATTATTATAACATTGCACATCTTCTTTAAAAGGCACATTCAGAACATCTAAATTCTAGAAAGTTCTTATGTTAAGGATGATTTTCTGTTTAACTTTTTAGAAAATTTGAACCATATTGTTCAAATGATCATTTCTCTTAGATTCATGGATGTTTTATACATAGCTAGGCACCAACGATATTGTCTAGCTTCTTTCCTGAAAGAAAGGAATTACATTGCTTTCCATACATTATAAATGCTACATGTTTTGTATTCCTTGAGTTTATAATATGTATCAAACACTGAACCTATATTATCTTAAACTTCCAGTTAAGGGTGAAGAGGAAGTTAAGACCCCCAAACAATCTAGTCATTGACATACAAGGAGGATCAATTGATTATACCAGCAATATCATCTTGGCTCTTCTAGTGCAATCAGTAATAACTATAGTATCAAGCACTACCTGGAAAATAACAAACTATAATAACTAACATTTTGTCACATTTTATCCTAGGTACATAATTTATAATTATAAACTGAGTCTAAGACAAATTATAAAATTAAATACAGTAAATATTACTTTGATAGAGTGATTTACCCCTTCACCATAAAGCAGTTTTGAGCTATAGTTAGATATAGTTAACTACTTACAGATTCATAATTGTAGGTGGTACTGGTACAGTAGTGTGAAGAAAAAAGAACAAAAGAAACCTAGATTATGAAAATTAAAGCTGTAGTTCATGTGAAGAATATGGTAAAGAATATGGTAAGATTGGTGTAGGAGTATTAGTTAAAGAGTAAAGGGAAATTAGTGGTTAAAGATAACAGAAACAGAGGTAACCACTTAGGAGAAGTGTAAAAAATAGGGAGAGGAGATTAAACTAGGGGGAAAGAAAATAAGAAAAAACTATGGGAACAAGTAGAAAGAGAGAAGGTGAGAAAAAAAGGGAGAGAGAATAAAAAGAGAGCCTATTCAAACAAATAAAGTAATATTAAAAGAGGGACAAGAAAATGGGTGGTAATACTCCAGACTCCACCAAAAACTAGTGAAAAAAATAGAAATGTACTAATAATGGAGAAGAAAAGGAAAAAGAAGGAAAAGTTCCTTAATATTTTCAGAGTAGCGTTTCCCTCCCAGGTCTCTAGACTTTGTTCTTACAAGTCACATTGCCCCGTTTTATAGTCTTTGAGTTTGTATAAAGGCTACCCTGTTCAAGGAGACCTCTCTCTGTAGTTCAGTATGTGGTAGCTGTTCAAACTGGGGAAGCAGACCAGAGAAGGTGTGGAGTCTTGTTGCTGAGGCTCCATTCCTTTTGGTTGGGAATCAATGCACATTACCTAATGTATTTTCCAGTGTCGGTGGGACACGCTCCTGATATGTGAAAACTACTGTGGGCTTCAAACCTAACTGTCAGTCCTGTGGATTCTCAGAGGAGAAACAGATTTACCCAGTACTAATGTGGGCAGATTTCTAAAAGCCCGTGAGGGTACAGAGCACTAAGTGGTATCTCATGGGTGTCTGGAATACCGTACAGAATGAATAGACAGCTATTGCTCTTGCTTCTTAACCAGGCAGAGGACTGGCCTATTGTGTTAAGCAGGGGCTGTGTCGGCACTGGTTAATGTGCAGTGGAGATTCTGCTGTGCCCAGGGGTCTTAGAACACTCCATGTCACCCTGGTCACCTCATGTTGATGTAAGATGTCAGACACAGACTTTAAGGGTCCGGGATGGGAGCATGGCAATGAGAACTCCATATCGACTTATATGAGCCTAGGTTGCTAGATACCGACTCAAACAGGACCAGTGTTAGCTCTGGGTGCTGGATGAATGTCCCAGTCAGGGTCTAGGCATTGACTCATGTGTGCTCAGGATCTAATATTGAAGACCCCCAACCCACACAGACGATGCTTGTTTATCCACTCACAGTCTGACAGTGGAACAGGCAGGTCAGAGGAGGGAATAGCTCCCTGGTCACTCACCTCTGGAAGAATGCTGTCAGGCTTGTGTCCTCTGGAGAGGAGGTGATGAGGGGAGGCCAGGCTGTATATCCCCAATCTATTCTATATGACTGGACTCTGCCCCTACTTGAATCTCATGGTATTTGGAACTTCTCCCTATGTTGGGCAAGGCTGAGGTCCAACTTGCAGTCCTGTGGGACTGCTTTGCCTCTTTTAAACTCTGCAGCAGCATGTATGACCACCAGCTGGTATAAGATAGAGTCAGAATATCAACGTGATCTTTCTAGAAAAGCATTATCTTTCTATTATCATTTTCTAGATTTTAAATACCTTGCCACATTTAAATAATTTGTGACATTAGAATGTGTTTTACAATTGATTGTATTTTGTGTGCTCACTTTGGCAGCATATATACAATAATCATATTTTAGAGTTAATTGTAGATTTTATACACCTAAGTAGGTTTTGAAATTTTGAATCTGCTAACCATTTTAGTTATCTTGTTTCTAAAACAAATGAGTTCCAAATTTTTTGAGAAACATATATACAGGTGCATGTACCTATAGTATACCTATCCTCATAGATAAAATAACTATGAAGTATAATGAGACTGTGAGGAACTTGGTTTTTTCCCTTTGAATCTTTATCATTCAATTTATTTTTGCAAACGCCTGTGTTTTTTCGTTGTTGTTGTTCTTTGTTTTCTTTTTAGTACCAGGGATAGAACTCGACTATGCTTGCAAGACAGGTGCTAATGCCACTGAGCTAAATCCCCAGCCCCAAATAGATGGCTGCCTAGTAAAACTACATCTATGCATATAAACATTTAAATTTAGATATTAAGAAAGATATTACTCAACTTTTAAGGATTTCTGAGTTTTGTTGGTACTGCCATACTAGGTAGAGGGCAGGAAGAAAACTTGATAAAATGTCAGGAAATAAATTCCTCTCATTGCTCGCCTGTATTTTCTATGATGATGTTGCAAGTTTAAACTCATGAGCTGTTTAGATCCAGGTATAGTAGTTATGTGGCAAATTTGCTATGTAGTAAGAAAGAAAGAAAACTTTTAAAATGTTTGCAGTGTTCCTTACAATCTGCAGTTATACGTGAATTCGATATGCTTTTCCCTTTACCCTGGAACCTTTATTCTGCTAGATTATCTGTATCTAGAATGAGAAACTAATTTTTAATCTTCAAAAATTGAATTGGAAACTTTTCAGTCATCCACACTGATGCGTTGTTTTAAGAGATTTTCAGTTTACTAATCTATTTATTCAAGTGTAGTAGTGGAGAGATTGATTTTGAAAGCAAATTGAAGACATGTAATAGAGTTCATAGCTTTGTAATATCTAAGTGGGTCAGTTAGTGAAAAAATACAGTTATTCTCCAGATGCTTAGCCTCTAAGTATAATCGGACTTCACTTTCAAAGACAGAGCTGTGAATAAGCAACACAAGTAGATGGAGACTTGGTTTTAAATGAAAATGCAACACATTTTATGCTATGTGGCATTTAGCTTGGCTACTACTGTAGTTCATGTCTTTTGTTTACAACTCTGCAGCTTTGCCACTGACATTCATTCACTGTGTCCATAATTTATTGACTGACTTCTTGTCTAGTACTGTTTCAAATGGTGGAAATAGAAATAGTGTGGAAAAGATCACAGGTTAAGCTATGTGTGATTTCACTCTTGCATGGTATCTTTTGCTAGTCTGATCGTGTGTGTATGTATTTGATTTTGTTCTTTCCTCTATGTGTATTATGTCAGATTCAAAGATAAACATGTCCTAAGAAATTATCTCTACAAAAGATGTTAGTTTTAGTGTGCAAAATATTGAATCCATATTATTTCAGAATGAATTTTATCTATTTTAGTTATTTTCATTAGCTGCACTAATTTTGATTGATAATTAATTCTAAATGACCAATAAATATATTCTGTATGTTTCTTTTCTAAGAAATGCAGATACTATAAATTCAGAATCTTGTTTACATTGTGCTTAAAAAAACTAATATAAATTACCCATTAATTAAGTTATTAGACTTTAATGCATATTGTTTTGCTTGTTTGTATTTTTTTTAACAGTTTACCTGTGGACCAGTAATACCTATAGTTTTACTTTGAAAATATTATTTTTATCTAGCTTATAGGAAGGACTTTATAAATATTTACATTGTATTCCCTAGATATAGTGGTGTTAGAGTTCAACAAATTAGTATGCTTATCAGTGTTTTCTTAAAAGATGGTTAGCCAGACTTTCCAACTAGAGCTTTCAAGGATACATGCAGCTCATTATATTTTTGGAAAGCAAAGCAAACCTACTGTAAAATTATCTTTTCTACCAGACTCAGTTTATTTTTTGAAACTGTTATCTCCTTTACCTAACATGGCACATTTTTCACACTTTTTGATACTTTTTAATCTCCTCTGGAAAAATTCTATTTTATCATTGAGCCTTTGAAATGAGGTATTTTAGGTTCATTTGGGCATTGCAGAATAATTGAATCCTTGCTTTATCTGTTAATGAAATCAAAGGTTGAAATAGTCTTATGCTTCTATATTGCACTTTGAAGTCATAGGAAATTTATTTGTAATTTATGATTTTTCCTCATTTACATCTTTGTTATTTTGTGTTTAGTCTCTTGCTCAAGTAATACTACTACATTAAATGTTATATGTATTCCAATTGTAATTTAATCTTACTAGTTTCAATTACAATAGTTAAAATTCTTGAATTTTAAAAAAAATCTGACATTCTTTCCAACTATGCCATTTGCATATTATATAAACACACATACTCTATGGTTATGTAAACAGTTGATAAAAATGGTAAAGAAATGAAAGGGTACTGTAGTATTTTGAGGCGTATTTAGCAACATTATAGCATCTTAATATTTGGAACAACATTTTAGTCCAAAGCGCATAATAAACATCTTCAGAGTTTTGTGTTTGTATTTGCATGATATTTAATAAATAATATTAAATAACAATATATATTTTAATTTAAAATGTCATATTTTGCCTCTATAAAGACGTGGAATGAAGTTAATTTCTTAAACTTTCAAAACTTATACTTAAGTGTCAAACTGCCTTTTCATTTTACACAGGACGATAGCAAGCAAGCGCAGTTCTTAGCTCTGGCTGTTGTTTACTTCATTTCTGTTCTGATGGTTTCTAAGTATCGTGACATATTAGAACCCCAGAGAGAAACAGCAAGAACTGGAAGCCAAGCAGGAAGAAACATCAGACAAGAAATCAATTCTCCAACTAGTACAGGTGCTTAATAGTACTTAGCTCTTCATCACCTCCTTTTTTCCCACTTTTCCATCCACATTTCAACTGGACTTACTCATAATTGGATCATATGTTTTTAAATAGTATATAAAGGCTAATTTTATACTCCTTGAAGACCATTATGAATAATCATAATGTGAAAAATATGAATTAGTACTAGTGACATTTCCCATTTACTATATTCTCATTTTATCGCCACAGTTTTGACTTTATTATATCTATAAATGCAAATCATTTATTTATATCACTGTTTAATACATACACAAGTAATATGTACTTTTAAATGCATTTCTTTTTTCAACCTTATAAATATAAAAATAAGCAATGTTTGCATAATTTCTTAAGAACAACAATAAGCTAAAATTATAAATCTTTATAGCCAAAGCCCAAAATAAGTTTCTTCCTTCCATTCTCACTTCTTCCTCTCCCCTTCCTGCCTACCACCCTGTTTCTTTTACTCCTTGTCTCATTTTCTCTCTCTTTGTTGGATACAATTAAGTAGCTGAATAGTCTCTCAATTCGCAGGCATACATTGCAAATTCTATACAAATTGTACAGAAGTTTTACAAAATGGCCTCAACTAAAAATCAAAGGATTGTGGTGAGGCACCATACACAACAGGGGATCATGTTGTTTTTCTCACTTGCAAAACCAGTGTATATTGCTAAAGTTCTTGAAACATCAGTTTTGCCCATTCTGCTTAGAAACTATAAACATTTTTAGTGAAGAATGCCCTCGATAATTTGCATTTCTGCCAAGTATTAATATCCAGGTCGTTTGTCTATTGTTGTAGTATAATTTAGATAACATAATGATTATTTCATTTGCCAATGGGTCACTTTGTAGTTGAAAATGTGTATCCTAGATAAATGTATATAATCTATAAATTAAGTATTTAAAAAATGAGTAGGAATTAGTGGCCAGATCTCTTCATAAACATAAACCATTTCATTTACCTCTTACTGCTGTTTTGGGGATAAGGATTATGTTTTAGCTGTAATATTTGGATTTTACATGTCATATTTACTTTTAACCTATAAACATGACTATGTCATTTAGTGTACTTTTGCTTTTAATTTTATTCTGCAAATTATGGATCATCTTGTGTATGATTTGACTATTTAAAATAGTAAGACTTGATCACCTCAAATTTTTCATTTTTAATGTATTCCTGTCCTATATGTATAAAATGAATAATATTATAGTGAACTTTTCAGATATGATTTTCATGTGGAATTGTACATCACTATGTGTGTTGCTAAAATTACTCTTGCAAAATGCATTATTTTTTATTTTAATTTATAACTTCTAATCTATCTTTAGAGATGCATTCTTGATTGTTAGTGTGGTATGCATGCAGCTGTAGTAACAGAACTTTCATGAATCTTCAGTGAACCATGTTGCAGGTTATTACATGCTGCTACAAATTTGATTCCATGATTTTCTCCACAGTTGTGGTCATACCATCTATCCCTCATCCAAGTTTGAACCATGGATTCCTTGCGAAGTTAATTCCTGAGCAGAGCTTTGCACACTCATTTTACAAAGGTAATACTGACCATTTCTCCTGATCTATTTGTTGTTCTTATTTTATGTTGTTATAAAATAAGCATTCGATGTAATTGTTTATAAATAAGTAAAGCTAGCCTCAGGTTTCATAGAGATGCAAAATGTCATATTTACTTCCAACTAGTGAAAGGTAAGTATAACTTTTACATTTCTATTCCAGTTTATCTCTTTATCCTCTGAAAATTAAAGACTATTTAACATGTAGCTATGTATAATGGTGACTATGTTAGAGATTTCAAAAGAGTTGTACCTTAGTAGTGGCACTAAATCATTTTAAAATGAAAATTATCCTATACTCACTAGGAAAAAAAAAGGATAAAAAAACTTTGAGAATATCAAAATAATCTCTGTCATTTGACTTATAGTCAGAAGACTCTCAGTACTCCTTAAAGCCATGCAAAGAATTTTTACCGAAAAAACTGTGTCATTAAATGTTAAATTACTAATGGTACATTACTAAATATGTAAATGGGAAGGAAAATGTGATGCATTATAGAAGAAAAATAGTAACAGAAAAAGAGTGACAATAGAAATATTAGAACAATGAAATAAGGACATTAAATCATTATAAGCATGTTTAAAATGTTTTTCAATGTAAAGAAAAAGAAAAAGAACCAATTTCAACTTTTAGAGCTGAAATATACAATAGACAAAATGATAATGTTTCCAGGTAGGGTAGATTAACAAGAAATTAGTAGCCTCCGAACAAAGAGCTATGATAGGCAGAAACCAGTGATAGTCCCCTTGCAAAATTCCAGGAATAGGGAATATGATGGATTTTTACTGTAATTTGTTGTGTTATATGCCACCAAATACTTCTAAGAAAAAGTGATTATCTAGATGGCCTAATGACATGACCTCTGTGAAAGTATAGAATTTTCTCCACTGATTTTATAGATCTCTCTGGAAGTCAGAGAGATTTGAAGTGTGAGACAGATTGGAGCAAGAACTTCAGAACATCTTGTAAGAGTCAGGACCTTTCTCCAACTGACAGCCAGCAAGAAAGTTGGTGACTTTAATCCTACAATAAAAAGAAATCAGATTCTGCCAACATTTGGAATGAGTTTGGGAGAGGACATTGAATTTCATAGTTTGGTGTATTCTATAACTGGTTAATAATATGGAAGACCATCTTTTGGAACAAATAAAGCTAGTTCAGTATTTTGTGTTACAACTTGATGAGTGCATAGATAACTACTTTTTAAAATCATGCAATCTTTGAACAGGATGAATCGTCAAATATTTTGTCCCAGCCACAAAGAAAGTAACTGAAACAGGAACATAATTTTAAAAGCTGAATTTCTTTAAGGCTTAAGTGGTAAATTTGCTGTTATTCTCTTTATGTGGCAATATGGCAGTGGATAAGAACTGCTACTTTATTCTGTAGTGCAGTGGTTATGATGAGAAGATTTTGTGGTAATATCAGAAGTAAAAAGTAAATTCTTAGTTGTTTCTTTAGGATAAGAAATAACTTTGCTTCCACTTTTTAAAGATAAATTAGATTGACTTTTTGTCATACTTTTAATATATTTATGAACTCTACTTTCAAATGAGGAAAAATAATAATGTGATTTTCTGCATAGATAACATATTTTTTATTAACAAAAGGTAGAATCTAGAGAGACAGTTACTCTGATGTGTTTCACAGTAATTACAAATAAACTATCTTGATCTTTAGCATTAATCTGATTTTGTTCATTGTGAGAAAGTTATCACATTATATTGATTTGAAAGAATCCCTTTTCAAGTAATAGAGCATCCATATGGATGAAATTCATGGATCTGGAGTCCATTTCTTTCATTAAAATATATATGTTTTTATTTTAAGTATGTAAGATGAAATGTTAGTACTGGTTATTGATAAACGGTTGAGGATATATCTTTGTTGTATGGTACTAGATACCAAACAAAGGATCTTACATATGGGAGGCAAATACCCCATTCTGAGCTACTCCATCAGGTCCAATATATATTTTAAAGTTAATTTCTAGCTTTTATTCTCTAGTTTCATTTTGAATAAAAAATTAAAATGGATATTCTGATGTCACTAAATTTATGTTATGTGAGCTCCCTCTGTTATACTTTTTCTTCTTGTGGTGTTTTTGAAATAAAACAAATTATTTTTTATTGTTTATTGGTACCATTTAGATACACATAGTGATCACATTCTTCATAAGAAATTTGAACTGTCATGATTTATCTTGATTCCCCTTTTTTTTCCTTTCCTTCGCTTCCCTTCAACTCCTCTTCCCCTACATCTTATTCCAATGAGTTGTACTAATACCAGTAACGCTTGGATTACAGAAGTCAACAAACAAAAACCTGATCATCGTATCGTAAACTTGCATCCAAATATTAGTTTAAAACTTTAATATAGACTTTTTTTTGTAACAAACTATAGAAATGATTTCTGAAATTACAGCCTTGGATATTTCTTTTAGTGGCATTTTGCCTGAAATTTTTAATAGCAGTTGTTCTTTTGTACTATCACCCTGTTCTTAATATCCTATTTCCTTTCTTTCTTATACTTACATAAATTTGCTTATTGAAATTTGTGCTTTAAGAGTGACAGTAATGGCTATCTTACTTACGTTTACCGTGTATCCTTTTAGAGTATAGCCTGTTTGTTTTTATAATCCTTGTGGAATGATTACTCCACCAATTAACATATCTGTCACCTTACATACTCATTATTTTCTTGAGGGATCAGAACATTTAAAATTGTTCTCTGCGCTTATTTTCAATCATGGCATAGGTTTCTAACTTTACATACTAAATCATAAAATACATTCCCAGAACTTATGTAACTGGAATTTTGTTATCTTTGACTATCATCTTTCAGCCCCTGATAGCTACCATCTTAATCTCTTATTTCTGTGAGTTTAAGTTTCTGTGACTCCACATGAGTGAGACAATGTATTAGTGTCTTTCTATGCCTGGTTCATTTCATTTAACTTCATGTCCTTTTTGTTCATCCATATTGTTACAGATAACAAAAATTTGTTATTTTGTGACTGAAAATATTCCTAAATCTATACATACCACATTTTCTTCATGCCTTCATCAGTTTAACACTTGGGTTGATTCCATATCTTAGCTAACGTGAATAGTATTAAAATAAAACTGGGAGCGCAGATAGATCCTTGACCTACAGCTTTCATTTCTTGTGAATGCATATATAGCCATAAGTAGAATTGCTATGTTGTACAATGGTTCTATTTTTCACTTTTTGAAGAATCTCCATAATATTTTCTATAATTCCTGTGTAAATTTTCTTTCCCGCTTAGGTGCTTTATTTGTCATAGCTAACTAGGATTGTTTTCTTGATTTCTTTTTTAAGATACTTTGTTGTTGGTGTATAGAATTGAAAATGATTTTTGTATGTTGCTTTTGTGTGTTTCTATTTTCCTGAATTCATATATATGTGAATATATTTTATATATGTATAAAAATACATGCCATATCCCAATAGAGGCAGCATCTATCTTTCCAGTTTGCATATGCTTTCTTTCTCTTGTTTATTGCTTTGCTTGAACTTTAGTACAATATTGAATAGACTTTACCTTACGTCACTAGTACATTTTATCTCTAGTGCATTACGTGATGTTTGAAAGTAAAACTAGTAAAATACTTAGCAAAAGAGCAAATTAATGAGAGAACTCTTTTGGTAAATTTTTGTCTGAAAATATATTTAATTAATATATAGTCATAAAATATTTGATAAGCATGCTGGCAGAAAAGTTTTTTCCAATTTGTCATATAAATTTTAGAATCTTTATGTTAATTTAGTAAGAAAGTTAATATTTAGATGAATTTAGGAATAAATGCCATTATTAATTTTCCTCTAATTTATGATCAGGGAAATGAATAAAATTAGATAAAGTATTCTGGTACAAAATAGACATTTCATAGAATGTCTACAAATGGATAGAAAATTCTGTATGTCAATTAATGCATGCACATTCCATGTACTGTAAGTATACCTCTTTTAACCAAACAGAAGAGAAAGTATCAAGAGTCATTTGACATTAAAATTACCATGCAGCATAACTATTTGGATAAAGAGTATCTGTCTGCTGTCTGTCTAAATATGTGTACATGTGCATGTCAATCTATATATGTACATATGTACACATGTGGTTTTGAAGTACTGGTGGTTAAACCCATAGGCTTGCCCTGTAACAATTTCCAGGCCTTTTTATTTTTATTTTGAGACAGAGGGTCTTGCTCATTACTAAATTGTCCAGTTGGATTTGAATTTGTAATGTTCCTGCCTCAGACTCAGATTATAGGTACATGCATGACGTCTGGCTAAGAATTAATCTGTATTTTTTTTCTCATGTGTTATGCTACATAAATTTAGTTTTTATTAATATAAAGGTAAAAAGCTGGGCACATTTAAAGAAAATTAAAATCAATACTTATTGAAATATTGTTTTAAATCATATCAGTAAAGACTAAAACTATAAAGTAAAACATTTTTATGATTAAATAAATTCCATATACACTTTTATGTTTGAAAATATTAACAAAATTAAAAATCAAATGCAAACAAAAAATTACCTTTTTCTGTTGAAAGTTAATAGTCTTAATGAGTAAAGACTAATGTATCCATCAAAGCAATATATAATAGTCATGGAAAATGTAGAAAAAAACTGAATAGATAATGAAAATAAGAAAAACAAAATATAGTACAAGTAGACTATAAATATCAATAAACAAGTATATCATAATTTGTGAAGCTGGACAGAATTTGCAAGGATGAGAATCTAAATAAACTTTGTATGACATTTAAATTTTCATAATCCTTCATCTAGTAATTGTTTCCTTTTCAAATTTTGTCCTAAGGAAATAAGAATATGCCTATAGTTTAAATATAGATGTATAACTTAAATTTTAGTTATTGCATAATTAGAAATATAATTAGCAATATTTATTTATTACATTTGTATAATCATGTACTAGTTTTTTATTGCAGA